AGATTTCACTCCCATCGCGCTTGCTAGATGATGTGATGCAGGAGATGTATGGTTCTCTTCTTCTTCCAGTGGTTCTTGGAAATCTGAAGAAAATTACATTTGAGTCAACTAACATACAACTATACAAAGATCCTAACGTATATATACACACTGAGGGCATATCTGCATGCTATTCCACCGTCCCACACCACTTATTTAAGAACCGTTTCAGTTATACTTAAGCGATCCTATAAGTATCCTTAATAGTGTTGTTCTAGTACTAATACCCCGATTTTAGTCATGCCAAAATAATTTTGTCCACTAAAACTAAATGAGAAATACACTCAAAACACCATGCTAAATCAATCTTTAGCTATGTTTCTAGAAGCCATGCATATTACATGACATGACATGACATGACATCACATCACATCACATTATTCAGCTCACTGGGGATTGGGGCTTTTAAGTGACCGATTACATCAAGTATTACGCTAACTTATGTTACTTACTTAGCCTAGACTACTTATTTTTACAACAATTGTGATTACTTTCTTAACTGCGTTTATCCTAACCCACCTTGTCAACTTTCTCTGTGGGAGGAAACCGCGGAGCGCCCGGAGAAAACCCACGATTTTCGGGAGAGCTTCTCACATGAGTCAGTAGCGAGAATCGAACCCTCGATCTCATGAAAGGTGCTCTGAAGACTGCGCCACCGAAGCCCCCATATGGCATGCCGTAGATTTTTTCTCTAATGCCACTTTTTGTACTTTAATTGCACGGTACTCATGGAAAGCGCAAGTCTATTTGAGTTTGTAAATATTTACAATGTTATTGATTTTAGTGATATTTTATCTTAGTTAACTTTATCGTATTTAAACTTATAAATATATACATATAATACCTGGAAAAGTTTCATGACTAATGTCAGTCATCTGACTGTCATCTTGTGCCTCCAAAAATGAAGAATTCTCGTCATACACCTTTTCTTGCATCAATTTCTTCCTATTTTCCAGGTCTTCTTCCAGGCGCATTTTCATAGCAATTGCAGCTTTCTCTTTCTCAAGTCTCGCTTTCTCGAGAAGCTTTTCTTTATCCTGTTAAAAGAAGCCACAAATATACAGGGCATATGTTTGGATTGTGATAAAAAAATGCACAACAGTTTTTAAAGTGGCTTCTAAAGTGAAAGGCAAAGAACCAATCAGTCACTGTCTTACTCCAATCACAACATCACAACGTATTTTTTGTTCATAAACATATTTATAGTTGTGGTGGTCCTATAATGTGATGTTTGTACATTTCATTTAGTTTTCTCCGTAGGGAAATATGTCTATGATGTTAAACTGTGGTGTCATATAAAGTAAAACTGTGCATTGATCAAAGACTTTGAACGAAATAGTTCGTAATAATTCAAACACTTTGACCAAAGTACACTTTATTCAAGGAATACTAAGCTTTACCTCGTGAAAAGAAGGCAGTGGAGGTCGCGTCACACTTCCATCTTCCATTTCGATCTGAACTTCTTTTAAACCATAACGCGTAAAGTGGTCCACCTGTCAATAAACAGCAGTTTGAAAATTAAACCAGTATAAAATTCAAAACTATATGAAACCACCGAACTTATTGTTTGAATGTTTGGTAAAACAGTCCTTGTAAAAGCTTACAATGGCCCTCCTCCTTAAAACCAAATCTTAAACCTTAATGTTCCTACACGCCGAGAGGGGCGCATGCAGGGGGCATTGTGCCCGACCCTCCAGCTAAAAAAGGTCCCCCAAGGCGACGATGGCCCTTAATATTTCTTGATGCAAGATTGTTTAACCAAGGATTTAAGTTCTAGCTGATAAAATATGCAATAATTATAGCGTAATATAATGCAAACACAGCTTCTTCAACCACGAAGCCATAGGTTCCTCTGGGGAGATTTATAGTGTCATAGAGGCCCCCTGGGAATTTTTCTCCCGAGAAACCTCTCAGCGGCCCTGCACGCGGGGGCCCAAAATAGACAACGGTTTGTGAGACGCCATAATTTAACAGCGCCTCAAATCTTCAAATGTCCTTCACACTTGTTACATGTCCTTGACAACGTATTTATATGTGGAAACATAGACACCTGACCATTATCAACGGCTGGTTAGGGTCGATGGAATTACAACTAACATACTGTACTACTGGTTTAAATCTTTAAACGTGCATTTGAGGTCAAGCTGAGTACATTACTTATCTCATTCAAAATAAATAAATATCTCATTCAAGAAGTATCGTTCCTGTAAAAATTATTTATAGCTTTAACAACCACTTACAGTAAAAATCCAGGTCCCAGTCTCTGCTTGGTAATCAACGAAAGTCGCACCCAATCTTCCTGTCGCGTTCTCCAACTTTTCAAGCCATCCTACTTTCCGGAGCCGGTCTGGGTTCTAGGATAATAGAAAATTACACGAAGCTGATATATACTGTTAACTTGCCTATAGGATTTATCAAGCCAATATCAGGATGTAATCGCTCTGCTCGTTTCCATGCAGTTGTTGTGACAAGTCTGGAACAAGTTGTTATCACTTTGTCACAAGGTTGATGGTGGTAACAAACTTGCTACAGGTTTTTTCGACAAGACTAATACAGATTGTTGCAACAACTTGCTACGAGCTTGTTGTCATCAATTTGTTAACCAATTGTTACGTGCAGATGATATCAGACTTGTTGGAACAAATTGCTGCGTGTCTGTTGGCCTCAACAGATATCAACCATATTACAAGATAACACTTTGTTACAGAATTGTCAGCAACTGGGAAGAAGCAGTGCGAACACATCTTGTTGACAAGCTGTGAGATTTTTACGTATGTATAGTAGTATCTCGTACCTTTGTGCTAGCCAAAACGCCCTAAAAATCTCTGCGATTCAAAAGAGATTGTTCGAACAAAATAATAATATTTAATTCTTATATAGCGCTTCTTCCATAAGAGGCGCTTTACAATTTATGATATAAAATCTATTACATACAATGAATTTCTAAAAGTTAAAACGTTGTATGTATACAAGTCTTACCAATTATTAAAATATATTAGATCAAGTCCGTGCATGTATAACCATTTCTAAACAAATGTGTCTTCAGTTCTGATTTAAAACAATCTAGTGACTCGTATAGACTTATTTATTAAACCTAAGTACAATGTACTAGGGTATAATGCTGGCCTAAACTAATTATTTGGTCATAAAATGCAAACAAGTTGCTTACCTTGATAGGTGTACGTGTGGTTTTGTCGTTGGGCCACACTTTGTACAAAGTCACTTCAGATTTCCTATTGAGAGCTTCTCCAACGGGGGGTTTGTCAGGGTAAGTGTCTGGATAAACCTCGATTTCACGACGGCGGAAACTCACTGAAATATGTGCAATAAATCATTTTATCATTGTCTGTGACAGCATAGTAGAAATGGGAGGACTAGTACTTAAGAACAGATATGGGAATACTACGTTGAGCGCAAGTTGTTCTCTGATAACGAGACAAATAACAATGAACAAAAAATTAAAACATAAGAGAAAGTGAACGAGGAAATGAAATGCTGCAAAATGACACGAGCGCGCTCCTCTCAAGGCTCATCTCGCGAGGGAAACGGTTGACCGAAGAAGACAATACGTATAACACTTATCTATTTTTCTGCATGCGAGAGCTGTGAGGTTGGTGTACATCTACTGCAGAATGGTGAAAATTAGACAACACACCAACACTATTTTTAATGAGTGAACTTAAATCTTATCAACACTTTATTCAGAATTTATGGACGTATATGGTCACTATTTCAAGCCTATTCACCTGATGGACTAAGATATATTGTATCCAAAGCAGTGTCCCAAACAAAAATAATTGTTACCTATTTCATCCAAGTTCAACCCAGCGACATTGAACTCTCCAAAGAATTTTACCATTCCAAATCCTTCTCTGCCAACCACGAAATCACCAACGATGACGTCACCATTTTCATCAACCATGTCATCCAGTTCAGCAATAGTAGGATTACAATAGTACTCTGGTCTGAAATGATCGAAAATTATGAAACAAGTGAGCATTTTCTGCCCCCGGTTGGTCCGACGTACAGTTTTCGCTCGAAATTTCCATCAAACTCTTCAACATTCTACCGAGCGAGACACAGGGTTCGTACATGTGAAAAAGAGTCAAATTCAAGGACTTTCAAGGACATTCAAGGCCATGTACTAACAAATTCAAGGACTAAATACTGAAGAAAAGGGTTAGAAATCAGTAAAATGTGACGTTGAATTGTTCAAAACGCAACTTCAATGAGTTTCAAACAGCTTTGTCAGATATGAATGTGCAAAATCGCATAAAATCAACAAAATGTTCGTTCTTGAATGTCAAACAGTTTCTGAAAATATCCAAAAACTAAAGCAAGAAAAATTTAAGGACTTTCAAGCACTTCTTTACAAATTCAAGGACATTCAAGGACTTGAATTTTTGTTTTCAAATTCAAGGACATTCAAGGACTTTCAAGTTTTGTACGAACCCTGGAGACACCCATTGCTTGATCAGACGGTAACAAGCAAGAGTTAAATTATATTTAGGCAAAATAATAGGCACACGTTTCCCCAATATTTAGGGGGTTCTTGGTCACCTTATCCACCTAGTCTGGTTCATTTAACGAGGAAGTCCTGGCAATAGGTTAAAATAACCAGGACTACAATAGGTTAAATAACATACTATAAATAGGGTTATTTCTGGCTTAACCAGGAGGTTTAACCAGCACATTTATTTAACCATAGTGTTTTTAGAGTGCACTATTGTATGAATATTATACCTTTCCAGTATAACGCCACAACCTCTCTGTCCAGCATTTCGTTGTGTCTGATCTTCCAAGGTTTCGCCCTGTTTGGGTTCAGGTCCTTGTTCATCATCACTATCCTTATCTTCATTTCCCACTGCATTCAGAGGTTCACCTTGTGTCGTGCTTGCCTCGCCGTTCACTCCTGTATCTTGCTCGTCTAGAGTTCTTGGTATATTTGAACGCCTTACGCCAACAACAGGACTATCTTGATCATCTTTACCAAAGGAACTATTTAATTTAGGCGAGTAAAATGAATCCCGAGAGGTTTCACCGTTGCTTGCTGGTCTGATGTGTGAGGTTTCTGGGGAATCCTCACGGTCTTTGCCATTGGTCTGTGATGAATTAGACAGTTCACTGGCAATACTTCTGGTCTGCGAGAAGATAAGGAAGATATAATTGAGACGCTACAGGTAGCGCAAGTTGAGATTACAGCACACTAATACACTGGTAGCAGGTCCAATTAGCGCACTGTGTAGGCTGGTAGCTTACCTGTGGTTGATACGCATGTAAGTAGAGTCGGGTTGGTTCTCCCCTGTTGGGCCTTTTCCCGGGTTAACCGATATTCTTGCCTCATGAAAAACGAACCCTTAGGTTTAGTTGTGAAGCACCGTGTATATATCTCATAATCCTCAAGTAAATGAAGCTCGAGTATCCGGCCATTCTCCCTTCCTTAAAATGCAGGTGTAAAATACAGCCTGATACTCTATTTGTGGGTGCGATCTTTCAACTTCAGGTGGCGAATGGAAATGAGTTATTACATTGTACCAACCTGTGATTTACTATTCAAGACAAGTTTCTTTATACTTCGTCTTGGTACAAATGTCTCACCACTGTATTCAACCTCATCATCCAAACCATCGAATAGACGCGTCTAAAATGTGGTTAAATACATTTAAGCAAGATTCACAGAAGAAGTATTATGGATGCATGCTGAATTCTGTTTGGGGGAAGCCCATGAGCCGATGAGGGATTCGTGGCGCTGATGTTTAACACTTATAACCGTTGCCCTGGTCGGATCAATTGTCTGTTTTTGCCATGCCTTGTTGCAGCAAGTTACGCTTGTTACTCCCTTTCCCCACCCAATTTATGTTTTAGTTAAACTTTGTTAGTTCAAGTACTTTGTTAGTTAGACGTTCCACTGAGACAGGCGCTGGAGGGATGCCTTGGAAGAATTGTCTTGGGAATTCCTTTGCTGCTATTTTACGGGTTGCTGATATAATTGTTGCTGCTTTGTTACTCGTCTTGCCAGGCTATGCAGTTCTTATTAAAACATTTCTTTAAACCCATGTTTACATTTCAAGCATTGCCCTGATCTTGGTAAAGTTTTCGCTTCCATGGGAATAGGGCTTATATATGACTTAAGTATATGGATATTTACGTATCAGACGTGACGAAAAATGTCTTAAAACCCTAAACTTTACATTTTAACTACACAATGGCAAAACCCTATGGACTACGGTGTGAAATACCTGTGAAAAGTTCAGTTTTCCAATGGCTCTTGGCTTCACTCTGGCAGAAGGACGAGGTGATAACTGACATAAAAAATACAGAGATAGTCAAATGTCAATGTTTTTTGTTCCACGTTTCTGACTGCAATACTTTGGATTCTTTCCAGTTTTACAGGAATTTTCAATTACACGCTGTGCCTATATGGTGCCACCAACAACACATTGCTATATGTTGGAGAAATCATAAAGAACTGAAAGTGTGAAGTTATACATTTTCATCTGTAAGACCACAGTTAATAAGACAGGTCGTTAAATATAAATTAAAAATCAATGACAACAACGAGTTACGACATGTATTTGCTTGTCTGGGTAAAAATTCCAGTGCTTCACTTGGTTGACAACAATTTTGAACAAACGGCCATACGTAGAAATAAAAATATTGTACTATGGTTGAATGACGTTAAATGGTGTACGAAAAGAAAAACAAAACAAACCTTATATTGCGATGGAGTATTTGTTCCTCTCTGTTTTGCTTGTGACGCCAGAGACAATGGTTTGTCACTCCTGGTACGACTCTATAATAACACATTTCTGTTACTGTAAAGACAGCGTGCTTTCGAGTGTAATTTCAATAAATAGTGCACGAGCGAATTCTTCACAGCCTATCAAAGTAGAGGTATTCCACGTATGTCTGAAAACGTAGCCCTGGGTGCGAGGTTGAAATTGCATGAGAAACGATGCTGGGTACAAGATTGGTATGCTAGGACTGTTTCGTTTATCAGAGAATATCTCAGACTGTTTGCAATTGAACACACGATATTTTGTGACATGTCCACTCCTGCATGAATGACCACTACACGCTTGTATATAATTCGAAGAGCTCAATCATGCATGTAAAATCTTGAATGTGTGAAGTTCCAGTGTAGGTAGTGATGAACAATATACTTGAGTGATGACAGGATTAAACTACTTAAGAAATATAACCAAAGCATCCTTAGCAACGAAGGGTCTTCACACAAAACGGGTTCTTGTAGTTCTGGTAATGTGATTCTGCATCCCTAATATACAATGCAGGTAAAACCTGTATAACACGTAGCCAGGGAGTCTGAAAGCAACCTAAAACTTTGTCTTCAAGTGACAGTTTGGAGAGATGCTCCAGCCAGGTCTTTATGACCACAGCTGTATGACCATAAAACGTACCGTGAGATTTCTGAATAGAGGTGAATCTCCAAATGGTGAACTTGTCAACGCAAGTACTTGCTGTTGTAGCTGTTGTTGCAGTTGCTGTTGTTGTTGCAATGCAGCGACGTTGTTTTGGCCACTGAAACAAGCAGATGATATTATTACTGCGCACTGTACTTATTAAGGTGTATTATAACTAATAACTAATACGCATGCCAATTCATGTGCCATTAACTCATAAACCTCTGAAATTTATTCACACGGAACAGGTTATCCGAGAACGGATTGCCGATTGCCTTAAATCTTATTATAAAGTAACAAAATTTCATATCATTTCTTCCATGGATTGATTGAAATTTCGTTTCCATAAGTTTTGAAATAGACATACAGACTTAATTCATATAAACAACCGGTGCCACAGGGAGCCCATCCCGGGTCTTATTGAAGTTATGTATTAGAATTACGTATGAAATATATAGCTCAGTGTTGAAGCCTGCGATTTGCGGGCTGTGTGCGGGCTAACGCGCGTGCCAGCAAAATGCGGCTCCTTCATAGTTGTCCTGGAAATGTATTTGACATTGAAACATCACCGACTGTTATTTATGTTCATTTGCAATATGTCAATGCACGATATTCAATGATTACAGTTATTTATACTTACACCAAGCCAGTTCCTATACCACCAAGAGCTACAAAAACGAAAGTACAAGAAAGAAAGAAATGAAATCGCACTCATTGTTCGAACTTATATTTCCAGTTTACTGAATAAATAGCTTTTATATATACCTTGTGTTCTTATCTATATTTGTATTAGCTCAAATAATCATTGGAATACCAGTGAGTACAACTAAAACTCTTGATTTATCGTACAGAGTTGGTTGCGAATGTAGTTTTTTTCTGAGGATTGTATTCATTTCCTTGAACCAGACCAACGGATTCTGATATAGTACATGATCGCAATTAGTTACTATCGCAACGTGGTGTTGGGTGATATTCCATTCCTGGCGCGTTGACAGGGAAAAGCACTGGAGAGAAGTTCCATACGTACTTGTGAGGATAAGGAAAACCTATATCTGCATGGACAACGCACATACTGCTTGATTTAGAATAAAAAGCGAAGTCACCCACTCACTACCAGACTGATTTTATGAGGAATGGCGTGAAGGAGGAAGGGAGCTCACCCCTAAGAAATTAGTCAGCAACCATTATACACCCCTGATGAATTGGCACCCTCTCTATCAAAGCTGGGTACGCTAGAGGATAGAAGAAATGTTAAACTGAAGTGCAATAAAATATATTAGCATAATTTACAAATATCATCATGCTCTCTTAATTTCACTGCACTGTCGTACAAAGTTGACAATCTTACTTGTTTGGCCGAAGGTACCACCCAAAGTTGAGGTTTGACCAAGTGTTGAGCCAGTGGTACCAAATCCAAGACTGCTATTACCAAACAATCCTGTACCAGTTGTATTACCAAACATATTAGTGGCTGTTCCAGTACCAAACGTTGTACCAAATCCTGGTTTGTTCTGTGTACCAAACAAACCCCCTGTGCTTGTCGTGCCAAACGTACCTAGAGTACCTGACGAAAAACAAAATATATGCATGATGATGTAGACAGTTTTCATGAAGATGGCAACTGGCCTCCTTTTTACCGGCAACTCAAGGGTTGCCTGGGTTTAGAAAGTTGGTGAGGTCGCCACTATAAGCTTTTCTTGCCTGCAACAAGGTTCACAACTCATCGAAACCACGCATGCGTAGTTTGCGATTGTTCTTACTTGAATTTCAATTATCTTGGGTACAAAGAACAAGGTTCTGCCAGGAACAAAATTACATAGAGAATGATACATGGGTGCGCGGAAATACCAGATTTATTTCGAGTGCTGAACATGTTCAAGGTATTTCAGCTATCTGGTATTTCAGCGATACTCTGACAAACAAGAAATACATGGTTTCAAATAAATTTTGTAAATATTTTCACTGTTATAGTTTTGTGATTTTATAAAACTTTCATGGGTTTTGCGATGAATATCGATGTTTTATGATGTTTTATCACGTGTAAGTGAAATAAAAATTGCAGACTTCACAAAAATCTTTTTCAGTAGCTACCTTCAAGAGTTGAAATAAATGCTCAAAATAGTTTATTGACAAAAACCTTGATATAGGTGCTCGAAGTGCGAACCTTATTGAGAAAGTTAGATAAAAGCAAGCACAATTGAAAGCATGAACGAACGGTCTGTACCAGTGTAGTTACATGGCCGGATTTTGAGGGGAGGTGTGGGGAGGTGCGCACCTCCCCTGAGAATTTTTGCACCTCCCCTGAAAAGTCATGCACCTCCCCTTGAGAAAGTTTTAATGATAGATCAAAGTGAAAATTTGCCAATTTTTTATTGCTTAGGGTCTACACTTCATAAGAAAGTTTTTCTGTAAAATTGAAACAGTGATAGCCATTCATCTCTGTATCAAGTACCATTTTAATGCAATGTTTTGAAAGTAACTTTGTGTTGTACAGTCATAATTCATTAATACACTGATTCATATGTACACTACATGCATACGTCACGTCGTTGACTTTGGCCCGTTCTAACTTTCCATGGGGGCAGTAAGCTAGACCGCTGCACCTCCCCTAAGTTTGTTTCCACCTCCCCCACTATTTCCATCAAAATATGGCCTTGTGCAGGTAGAGACGATAATAAATCGGCAAAGGGCGCTCGAAAAGTCGAAGTTCTGTTTGTATTTTTCAGGTGGTTGAATGTTTCGCAATCCGCAGTTATCACAATTTAATTACGCGAGTGAAGCGTGATCACGTAAATTTAGACTTAGTGTAACCCAGACGAAATACAATATTTGCAAGAGTGGACTTACCAGTGGTAGATTTCGGACCAAACAAAGAGGGCTGCAAGTAATATGAATAGAATAAATTATATTAAATAGATATAGCAGTATACTCAATACAAGTTTGATGCACGTGAAAATACTAGTGTTTAAAATATGTAGTTTATGTGGAATTTAAGCCTACGCGTGGTAAAACACAAAAGAAATAGACGTCTACAGACTATACTGCGTACGATGTAGCGTTTAATTTGCCTATTAAATACTGAATAATAAAGTAAATCCGTGCCATTAAAATAATATTTGCATCACTATATCCATACGTTTTCTTTTCATTGCGACATGTTTGTCCAGTAAATTAGTGAAATTCATTGCAGGCAAACTTTTTCACGACTCAATTGTATCTACTAGTTATTGATCTGCATACTGTATGTGCTGAAGGTTAGTGTATGATCTTGTGGCATATTCCATTTGATGCAAGCTATCATCGTTATAGCTCACTTGTCTTGATGGCAAGTGATTAAATATTATACCACTGCGTGTAAACAATCTTACTAGTATAAATGGTACCTGAGAAGTCTGTCCAAAAGTGGAGGTACCAAACAAGCCGCCAGCCCCCGATGTATTCGTCCCAAATGCTGGTTTCCCGAACATACCACCGGGCTGTGAAGAAGCACCAAATACACCAGCCTGTTAAATAAGATTATAAAAAATAAGATTATAAAAAATAAGATATAAAAATACTTTCTTATCGCTTCGCTTATCGAAAACCACTGCATTTTAGAGAGGGATTGGGCGTTTTACTATGGCATGATAGAATGCATGGCATACTGTGAACAACGATTTTTGTGTGGGCTGATGCATGCACGCGTGCTAATAGCACTGTTAAACATGCCTTTTCAGTAGTCATTCACATGACATATTATACCCCAAATATTACCCCATCACTTCAGACTAATCCTCTTTATTACCCTCAGTGACTAACCTGAGTAGTCTGACCAAATGATGGCGTACCAAACAAACTGCTGCCAACCGAGGCTGTGCCAAATGCAGGTGTTGTTCCAAACAAGCCAGTTGATGGTGTGGTAGTTGTTGTACCAAACAGTCCACCCTATATGAGTGATAAACCTCTTTTCAAATGTTTTGTTTAAATATTTCTATTTTTCATAATAATTGGTTTTACAAGTTGGCTACTTGTACACAGAGATGATTTGCAAGGTTGTATTCCAGATCTTAAATGTTGTACTACAGTACCAGATGATCTTGATACGCGGAAAAGTACTGGCACTAGTTGTCAAATAGAAATCCATTTTAAAACACCTGAATATCTCCTGTAATATACTTTATTTCGATTCCATATTTTTGTCAGAGCTATAGTTCTCATAAGCAAACATAATTACAAAATTTCAACTAGTTTCATAAAGCATAACGAAAGATATAATTGATTGAATACTTCAAAATGGATTTCTATTCGGACAACCCTTTCTGAGCGCTGATTGGCTAAAATACGAACACGAGATCACCTGGTAAGTTAGAGAGTGGTCTAACGAGGGTGATAGGGATTAGGGAGCGATATATAGACCACCAGATCCTGAAAAAGATATTTGTTTGTCAACTGAACTGGCTGAGGTGTGCTGAAACCGCTCCTTCTGGGGCAAAATAAAGCAAAATTCAAGGGCTGGTACTCACTCATAAGTAGTTAATTTACTTTAGAATATAAATAAATATATTGTTATCTTACCGGTTTATTACCGAAAGTATTTGTAAAAGCAGAGGGAGCACTGAATGTTGTACTTGAGTTGCCAAATAATCCACCTGACGTCGTTTTTGCGCCAAACATATTTGTTTGTCCAGATTGTCCAAATATACCAGTGGCAGTACTTGTGCCAAACCCTCCTTAGTAAATTAAAACCATTATGTCATTCAAGAACAATATGATTGTATTTAATATTGGACTATATACAAGAAATGTGATTGGTTGATTACAGTACATTGAATCCCAAATAGCAATGCAAATACTTCTGATTGTTCGTGTACATGGTAACTGGAAAAAAACAATCAGAGTCTAGCATTCATACGGAAGTGACTGTTTTAGATTGTATTGGCGGGACAGATGGTGATCAAGTACAGAAGCGTTTAAACTTACAATAGTAAACAAATTAAACTAAATCTCTATTACTTGTGTATTTCCTCGCAACTAAACACCATGATTTTTATTTACAATGAAAAGAATTAAGAACAGTACTATCTCGTTCTGATAAGTATCGACTGATCATCAACTGCTCATGTTTAGTAATATCTAATATGCTTACAGGAGTAAACGAGATTTACCTGTCCCGAACGTTGATCCACCAGTCGAGGTACCAAATGAACTTCCAAACATACCAGTTCCAGTTGTAGTGCCAGTTCCTGAAGCTTGTGGACCCTTTCTACCAAGTTGATAATCTTCCATACGTAGTTCCTGCAACAAAGGCACGTCGTTTATACATTTTAATCAACAAGTGAGCATGTACAGATGAGTGTGTCATACGGTACGTTTAAAAAAACAAAAGCATAGCGAAAGTTAGAAGTACTATTTGAATTGGATTTCGTAAAGCAATATCGTGCAGCAGGCGGTGATTACAATTGCACAATGGAAAAATGATGGAATTATTTTTAGTCTCGCAGTCAAAAGTGAATAAGGAGAATTGGCAGATGTATATAACTTAATTTTCTTGCTCTAGCAAGTGTCAACCATCTGCTATCGTGTAATAATAATCTTGAACTTTCATGTCGACGGATCCAGGCTCATATAGCAGAGTGTTTAATATTCTTAACAGTGCATTCTTCTTCTTCAACCAATTAGTTACTATCAATTTCATAGTTCATGGCAATGGTTGAAACT